TTACTGGGGAAAAAACCCTTGTTTTACAAGAACCACAGAACATGTTCAAATACTTCATCACGACAAATCTGTATTTAGAAGAGCTATAATTGATATATCAATTCATATCAGTTTGTTGCCAGATATTTTTCCTTTCTCCTATAAAATATGGTGAAGGGAAAGTGGCAAGTGAATCTGTTTTCCTCAGTAAATTTAATATTCTTTCAGTTAGTGTCAACTGTTCCACCCAAAGGGATGGCAGGTATACTTTCTCCTTCCACTTTCTTCTAAGGGAGAAAATCCAGCTAAAGTAATCTGCTTCATTTAGTAACATGCTAGAGGCTTCTGGGAGTGCCATGGGTAAAAGGAGAGAAAGAAGCGAGCAGACAGATTTCTGTACTTGCCACTTGGCTGGTTGCCTGAGGGCAAATGCTATTCCATAATGACTATCAGGAAAATGGCAAATTTCCAGTCTGAAACACAAACAGGTATTTACACTGCATACCCAAAAAAATGTTGAGCTAAGCAAACTGAGCACAGCTGGAACATTTGCATGCACTTAAAACCACAGCTACAACTTTCACACACCACAAAATGAAAAAGAAGAAGAAAACAAGTAAAAGTGAAATAAAATTATCACCAGAACTATGCAAGTGTTTCAGAGCATCTATTTTAGATACAATTTGAGGAAACAAGAACTTCAGTTCTGTGATGAAACCAAAATATAGTTTGCAAACATATATGCAATGTCTGAGTAGAAGTTCTCGGTCAGTCTATAGATCCCTGGTTGTCTTGGGAGTCCCAAGGCCCTTCCTAAATGTTTATGGCACATACATAGGCCAAAAACAATACTTAAAACTGGAAAGTAAAACTCTTACTTATGAAACAAAACTTACTAAGGGTTGAAGAACCTGAATGATATTTCTACAGAAGAAAACGTAACTAGTATTCACATTACATAGGACCCAAAACATTCTGCGCTATCCTGAGCAGAAGATTTTCCTATCAAATCCAGTTAGCAGCAGTTTCTAGACAACTAAATCTTTATTTAGATGCAACATTCATCCTGCTTTTGCAGTGTATGCCGTGACCAGCCAAGCCAACAAAGATAATCACATCTGTAGATAACCTTTCAGGTAAAAATAAGCAAAGAGTAAGATTCAAACAATCTTACTAAAGAGCAGTTTCTGAAACAGAAATTTTACTAATTTCCTAAAATTTTATAATAGACACAACATCAAAATATCCAATTTTGTTAAGTAATTTCCAGGTAGTCACCAATAATAGCAGGTTATCAGCCAAATACTACACTGAAGGAGATAAATTGCCAACACACAATAGGATTAGATATCTTATAGAAAAAAAGCACAGCTTATTAGTAAGAAATTAAAATGGGAATGTGCAGGAATTGGCTGAAAAATCTAATCACCACAGTACAGAAATACTATCCTTTCAGTATCATCTTGAAGGAAAAGAGAAAGAAAATGATTAAATCAGTCAGAAAGTTCAATATTCTGGTGGAAGAAAAGTGACACAGTGGGTCAAGATTCAACTGGCTAAAAGAATAGAGGGTCCAAGGAACTTGCCTTGGAAGATCAGAGACATTGGACAGCTAAGCACAAATTGTTCAAGTGTATGTACAAAAGTACAAATATAGGCTTTTACGATTAGTACATAAAATGACAAACACCACACCAAAGCTTCAGAATATTTTCCCCCCTATTTGGATGTACTGAAACATCAAACATGTCTAAACAGCAACCTCAAAAAACAGCAGAGGGCAAACTATCTGGATGATTCAGAAAACTGTATTAGTGACAGTGTAAGACTAACTGCTGAGCTTGCAAGTTCTACGTTACACATGAGGGCACATTTTAAACACTGTATAGCAACAAAATCTACACATAAAATATCAGCACACAAATCATTGAAAGTATAGTGACAGCTATATTTGGATTCTATGGAAAACATGTCTGAAAAAGAAGATATACTGGTAACTCAATTTGTTTGAGGTTTTATATGCTAAACCAAAGTTATAAAGAAAGAATTTTCTACTAAATACCATGGGAAATTAAATACACATGTGGTAATATTTAAGAAATTAGCTCATATCTAGTAATATATTTGAAATGGTTTTCTCCCTGATCACCGGCTTCATTTTTCCTTTAGCAGGTCATTTCCTGGCTTAAAGCCATTTATCTGTTGTCCTTCAGAGCACTCGAATGATCAGATGTCTCTGAGGACCATTCTGTATGTGCCTTCACATTGCATTCCAACTTAAGGCAACCCCTTGAATTTTACAGTGTTTTCTTAGGCAAGGAAGACTGAGAAGCAGTTTTGCTGGTTCCTTCCTCTGAAATATAACCTGCAGCACCTAGTACTCAGTATTCTCACATCCAAGTACTTACTGGGATTAATACTGTCTAAATTAAAGGCCTTTTAGGGCATTTAGGCCCTTACTTTCAAGCTGCTTTAGAAGACGTGAAGTCTAAAAGTGGCACTCAAACTAGTTTTGAAATATACTAACCACCTAATGTGTTTTGATAAATAATTTGAAAACACTAAAAATGTGATAAAAAAACAAAATTATAAAATTAAATAAGATATTAAGTTGAAAAAATGATGTGTTTCCAGAGAGTTGCACTATGTCTGAATCAGCAAAATAAACAACAGGGAGTCTATTACCACTGCAAAGACGAATATCTGGCATAAGCTTTTATAGACTGCTTAATCAGATACCGTATACTGGTATCTCCTTGATAATAAAAACTCTTGGGCAATGTGTGCGTGCACGCATGCACATGTATGTACACATACATTTATATTTTCAGAAAGTATCGGCCTGAAGGGAAGGGGCCCTTTGCTTAAATGCTGTCACTTCATGCAGTTCCTGGAGCTGCATCAGCAAGAAAATGCAATGCCAATTTATGTAACACTGTAAGTAACCATCTTTTACACATGTACCTCCTCAATGCACAACATTCTGAGTTTCACCACAAAAACAATGACAGGGCAGACATTGCTCCTATACACACACAAACCACCTGCCCATCAATCTGTGTGTGTGATATTATTATTATTATTTATTTATTTACTTTGTATACTGCTCTTCTCACCCCAGAGTGGGGTGGGTGGATGGGACTCAAAGCAGTTTCCAAGATATATACCGGAAATTCAATGCCTCACACATACAAAAACCTAAAATAAAATAATAACAACATACAGCTACCAATCATATACATATATACACACATACATTCATATACACGCAGATGCCCTCCACAATATATGTCTCTGTGTGCACATGCATTACATATAGATTTATCATCATAATGGGTGATCACTCATGGCTGCGTATGATTGTCTTCCAGAGGTGTCTTTTGAAAAGACTGTGAAGACCTATTATGGATCTCCATGGTCTTTCATATTGAGGTCATCAATTTCCAGATTTCCACATAGTTTCAGACACATACATTCATACTCCTCCACTATATATGTATATATGTGTGTGTGTATATATATATATATGTTTATATATACATACACATCAATTTTTACACTATCTCCCTTTCAGCCCCCCCCCTCCACACACAGAGCAAAGATCTTTCCACAATACATATCTATACACATACATTCATATACACAAAAAAACCCTCCACAATACATATGTCTATCTGTGTGTGTGCAGACGTGTTTATATATTCATACATACATGTACATTTTTGCTGTTAAGAGTCTATATGTTTATATATTGTTTATTTTATGTTTGGCACTTGTAATGTTCCTGTGAGCTGCCCAGAGTCTCTTCGGGAGATGGTGGTGGGGTATAAATATTATTATTATTATTATTATTATTATTGTTATATGCATACCATAAAGTTTATTATTATTAGTATTATTATACACCTATTCATTCATATACACACAGATCGATATATAGATAGATAGATAAATAAATAGTGGAGATGGTCTCAATGTGTGTATATATATGTGTGTGTGGGTATTCACACAGATATGCTATGCTGTTTTATATTGTTGATTTTGTTATGATGTATTTTGTTATTGTGTGTTTATTACGTTGTATTATTTTGGGCTTGGCTTCATGTTAGCCGCACCGAGTCCCCTTTGGGGAGATGGTAGTGGGTTATAAATAAAGTGTATTATTATTATTATTATTAATAATAATAATAATAATAATTGTCCTGAGGTTCTGAAACAGCGCTTTAAACAAATCAATCCTACCCAGGAAACAGCATGCCACCTGAGTGGCCCTCAGCATAACCAAGAGAACTATTTTAAACAAGTTGCTTTAAAGCAGGCATGGGCAACCTTCGGCCCTCCAGGAGTTTTGGACTTCAACTCCCACAATTCCTAACAGCCGGGAGTAGGCTGTTAGGAATTGTGGGAGTTGAAGTCCAAACCCCTGGAGGGCCGAAGGTTGCCCATGCCTGCTTTAAACCCAGAGGCCAGGCGACGCAAGGCTGCCTCTGGGAATGCCAAGGAGAAGCGGCCGAGAAGGGACCGAAGGCAAAACAAAGAGGGCAAAACAGGGCGACTTCCTTCCTTCCCTCCCTTCGCCCCTAAAGCGCAAAGGAAGCCAAGCTCAAGCCGCAAAAGGGAGCGAGTAAGCCAGGCCGAGGAGGAGCACAAAGGGGAGGATGGCGAGACCCCGGCGGAGGAAGGGAAACATCAACAAGGCGCAGGAAGGAAATGCGGAGGGACCTCGCTCGGGGAGGACTCCGTGGCAGGGCAACACGGCTCTTGGGGGAGCCTGGTTTGGGGGGGGGGGGCTGCGAGGAGAGGAAAGAAAAGGGGGGAGTGTGGAGAGATGCCGGGCATTTAAACCCCTGGGGAAGCAGAGAGAGGGAGGGAGAGAGAAAGGCACACACACACACACACAACCGAAAGGCAGCGTGAGTGTGTGGGGCGGGGGGCGTTGTTATGGTGACCCCGAGAGAGAGAGAGAGAGAGAGAGAGAGAGAGGGAGGAAGCCCCCCCCCTTCCCCTCCCGCCTCCTTTACCTTCTTTTTCGGCCCGAGCGGCGTTCAGCAGCACCGCGACCAGGAGACGCAGCGCCGCTCCCAGCCAAGGGGCCGCCGTCAATGCCGTGGCCGCCGTGACGGGAAGGGAAGCCCCGGAGGAAGGGGAAAGGGAAGGAGAGGCGCGAAGAGTCGGTTCCCGCTTCAGCACTGCCGCCATGGCGCTCCTCGGCCGCTGAGAAATCCCCGAATCCGCCTGAGGGGGCCCCTGAGTCCCGTGCGCGAGGCCGCTCTCGCTCGCGCTCTGGCTGGTTGGCTGGCGCGCGCTCCCTCTCCCTCTCTCTTCCCTCCCCCTTCCCCCTCGTTACGGCCTGGCGCTGGAGGGCGCGCGCACGCGCAATGCACACGCCTCTCCCCGCCCCCTGCCCTGCCTTGCCTTGCCTTGCCTTCACCTCACTCCTTCCCTCCCCACGCTTAGGTGCAGCTCCGCCCCGCCTGCGCACACTTCCTCCTCCTCCATCTTGGAAAAGGGCATAGCCATGCTCCTCCCCCTCCTCCTTCTTTCGGAAACGTATGGCGCCCTTCCATCTTTGTTGAGGGCAAAGCCGTTCTAGCTCGTGGTTCTCCCGTGAGCACCATCTTGACTAAGGGCGCGGAGTTCTATTTCACCATGCGGGCTTTTTCTTCCGTCTCCAAAGCGCCTTTCTGTCGATCGTGACTGAAGGTTCTACTCTTTTAACGACTTTCCCGAAATCTAATGGCTTCCAGAACAGATCGAGAGAGTCGTGACTCGGCATTTCTGTTCTTAAGTGGCGACGTTCTAGCCGGAATGTGTTTTCGAGCTCTATGGTGCCACGGGCTGCTTGGCCGCTCCGTCTCCCCTACTCGTCTCTCCCGGGGGAGGAAAGGAGGCGGCCAGCACTGCGCAAGCGCAAAGGAACCCCACCTGTCTATACAAACTTTGTGTGTGAGAGAAAACGACTTGTTTATGAGGACAAGTTTCACAGTCCAGGCAATGTTTACATGAAAGAGCAACAACAACAAAAGGCTTGTGATACCTGCAAAACAAAAGCTTTTAATTGTCAGAAACTTTTTTGTGGAAGGCAGCCTATTTAAGTCATCAGAAGATGCCTTAGTTGGCAAATTATAGTATACAGCATTGTAGTAGGTCAGATTAACTGAAATATCAAAAGCAGAGACAGTGATCATTACCTTAACAAGCAATAGCTGGGGAGGCAACTCACATACTCTTCAATCAGTGATAATGAGATTAACACATGAAGTACAATTAAAAAAACCTCCCCCATTAAGGCCAAAAGGGGTACAATTTACAATAAACTCTTGTCCATCTGAATTTAAAACAGTCATTAGGTAATTTTTTTCTGCTTTCAGTTCATTCTGACGAGGCCACATTTCTTTTTGTTCATGTAAATAAAGCATTCCTACAGAACACGTTTAACTAACGCTTGCATAAACGGGCTATTATCTTGATTTTTAGGAAGCTTAGTCTTGGATATACTTTACTAAAGTCTCTGAATACCAGCTTTAAATCCCTAAAGACACCAGATTCCATTTGCTCTCAGAAGATAAGGAGTGCTGACCCTGATTACTCCCTGGATGGGAGACCACCAACAAATACCAGGTGCTGTAGACTATATATCAGAGGAAGGAAAAACCACCTCTGCAGACTCCTTTCCTAAGTAAAGTATGAAGTATAAAAATTATGGGATCGCTGTAAGTCAGCAAGTGCTCAAAATGCACATATATACACAAAGTGAGACAGAGTCCCGGTTTAACTGAAGGAGGCTTATCATAACACCATTATTTTAAAAAGCCCTCCTCGGTTCCTACCAATTGCCCCTTCTGGGGAGGGGGAGCAAGCTTGTTTTCTTCTGCCCTGGAGACTAGGATGTGGCACAATGGCTTGAAACTAAAGGAAAGGAGATTCTACCTGAACATTAGGAAGAACTTTCTGACTGTGAGAGCTGTTCATCAGTGGAACTCTCTGCCCCGAAGTGTGGTGGAGGCTCCTTCTTTGGAGGCTTTTAAACAGGGTGCTGTTTCCTGCTTCTTGGCAGGGGGTTTCTTCCATCTCTATTATTCTATGAAGGGACTTTCCCAGAAGGTGGTGCTCAACCTTTTGGTCCTCTAGTTGTTTTGAACTTCAACTCCCAGGAACCCCAGCCATCTTACCAGTCATAGTAATTGTGGGAGCTGAAGTCCAAACCACCTGTAAGACTAAAAATTGGGAACCACTTATCTACATGAAAGGGCTGGGAAAGGCAGCCTAAAGTGTTGAAGTTTGGTGCCACCAGTGCAAAGAAGATGCCTGGCTCCATCACTTATTTCCACTGCAAGCCAAGGAAGCTTTTTTTTTGGTCTTAAGCCTGTGCCTGTCATGAGTAATGGACAGAATGAAGAGGAACAAATTGAAACTTAATCAAGATAAAATCAAGGTGCTTTAGGTTAGTCAAAAGGCAAGGAAAAGGGATTTGGTCTGTGCAGGATGGGGTTATGCTCCACCTGAAGAAACTGATCCACAGCTTGGATGTTCTCCTGGACTGAGCTCTGACACTGGAAGCTCAGGTCGCAGTGATGACCAGGAATGCATTCACACAGTTCAAACTTATGCACCCGCTGCACCCTGTTCCATGAGGTGCGAAGTAGGACAATGGTGACACATGCCAAAATTGTATCCCAGTTGGATTACTGTAGTGCGTACTTTATGCCTTTGGAGAGTGAAAACTTCAGCTGCTCCAAAGAGCTTCAGCCAGATGGCTGACTAGGGTTTACTATGGGGTACATACAATTCCATAGTTGCATCTGCATCACTGGCTGCTGGTCTGTTTCTGGCACAAATCAAATTTCTGCTTTTGACCTCTAAGCCCTATATAACTCAGGTCCACCTTATTTGAAGAACTGTATTTTTCTTTGCAAACAATATTGTGCTTTGAGATCTTCTGAGGAGGCTCTTCTCTGGGGAGGGATCAGCAAGAAAGGCCTCCTCAGCATCTGATTTGATGATTGACTACGGAATGTTTCACCAAAAAATTGTGCTGGTGTGTGTTTTAATGATATTTTAAATTTGGTTTTAATTTTTTTTATTGTTTTATCTCATAGGAGTTGACCATAGAATAATGCTGGAGGACCTAGAGATTCATAGAGATACCATATTTATCAAAATCTGTCAAATCCACAAAAGCAAAACCTGCAAATGTGGAGGGCTGACTGCAATGGTAGGTCATTGTCTTTAACTACCAGGTTCCTAAATATAAATGAAGGAAGGAGGACATTCCACAGGTTAAATGTTTATCAGATGCAAAATGTGCAGGCTGTGATAGCTTGATGACTGGTTAAATGAATGCAAATGAAGAACAATTAGTGATAATGCAATCACTTCAGCATGGATAAGAAAGTAATCACCCATTGTGTGACAAAAGACAAGCTGCAATTAATATTGTACAGTCAAACTTTGTTATTTGTTCCAATTAGGCTACTTTATCCTGGATTCTTTCTTTACATTCCTCTTTTAAGGAATGGCAACTTTCACTTCCAAACAATAAGTAGTGACTGCCTATAACACTGTTCTAGCCAAATATTCTCCAGCAAAGGATCGCCGCCTAGTCGGGGCGCTGGAGCTTGAGCACCTCAATGATGTCATGAGCGAAACCGTGAAGGGCCACCCAAGACGGGACGGTTGTGGCAGAGAGGTCAGACCAAGCGTGATCCCTGGGGAAGGCAATGGCAAACCACTCCAGTATCCTTGCCAAGAAAACTAAATGGACCAGTACAACCAGAGATATGTCGGTATGCCATTGGAAGATGGGACTCCCAGGTCGGAAGATGGCCAAAATGCTACTGGGGAGGAGCAGAGGATAAGTTCAACTAGCCCCAGATGTGATGACGCAGCTAGCTCAAAGCCGAAAGGAAGGGTAGCGGCCGACGGTACTGGAGGTGAACGACGAATCCGATGCTCTAAAGATCAACACACCATAGGAACCTGGAATGTAAGATCTATGAGCCAGGGCAAATTGGATGTTGTTATTGGTGAGCTGTCAAGACTAAAGATAGACATTCTGGGGGTCAGCGAACTGAAATGGACTGGAATGGGCCACTTCACATCAGATGGCCACCAGATCTACTACTGCGGACAAGAGGAACATCGAAGAAATGGAGTAGCCTTCATAATTAATAAGAAATTCGCTAAAGCGGTGCTTGGATACAACCCAAAAAATGACAGAATGATCTCAATTCGAGTGCAAGGAAAGCCTTTCAACATTACAGTGATCCAAATATACGCCCCAACCACAGCTGCTGAAGAAGCAGAAGTAGATCAGTTCTATGAGGATCTGCAGGAACTACTGGATAATACACCAAAAAGAGACATTATTTTCATTACAGGAGACTGGAATGCCAAGGTGGGAAGTCAAATGACAACAGGGATCACAGGCAAGCATGGTCTGGGAGAACAAAAGGAAGCGGGATGCAGGCTGATAGAATTTTGCCAGGAAAACTCGCTGTGTATAACGAATACTCTCTTCCAACAACCTAAAAGACGGCTTTATACATGGACCTCACCAGATGGTCAACACCGAAATCAGATTGACTACATCCTTTGCAGCCAAAGGTGGCGGACATCCATCCAGTCGGTGAAAACAAGACCTGGGGCTGACTGTAGCTCAGATCACGAACTTCTTATTGCCAATTTAGAATAAAACTAAAGAGATCAGGGAAAATACACAGACCAGTTAGATATGATCTTCACTAACATTCCTAGCGAATATACAGTGGAAGTGAAGAACAGATTTGAAGGACTAGATTTAGTAAACAGAGTCCCAGAAGAACTATGGACAGAAGTCCGAGACATTGTTCAGGAGGCGGCAACAAAGTACGTCCCAAAGAAAAAGAAAACCAAGAAGGCAAAATGGTTGTCTGCTGAGACACTGGAAGTAGCCCAAGAAAGGAGGAAAGCAAAAGGAAACAGTGATAAGGGGAGATATGCCCAGTTAAATGCGCAATTCCAGAGGTTAGCCAGAAGAGATAAGGAACTATTTTTAAATAAGCAATGCATGGAAGTGGAAGAAGACAAAAGAATAGGAAGGACAAGAGACCTCTTCCAGAAAATTAGAAACATTGGAGGTAAATTTCAGGCAAAAATTGGTATGATAAGAAACAAAGATGGCAGGGACCTAACAGAAGCTGAAGAGATCAAGAGAAGGTGGCGAGACTATACAGAAGATCTGTATAGGAAGGATAATAATATTGAGGATAGTTTTGACGGTGTGGTGAAAGAATTAGAACCAGACATCCTGAGGAGTGAGGTTGAATGGGCCTTAAGAAGCATTGCTAACAACAAGGCAGCAG